TTTTTTTATTTTTGTCACGAGAAAATATTAGATTATTTGAATATGTATAATGAATTTCTGGCAAGTTGGAATCCAACCACCCATATTATATAAGTTGCCAAAAGAGACCCTCCAAAGTTCCAAGTTTGAAATAGTCTAAAATGTTACAGTTACCAATCATTAAAGAGTCTAGGTGATTGATTCCAACAGTTTTGACCATACTTGATGACAATATGCTTACCTAAACATAAAAATATTTCCAGTTCTAAGTTGATCTGACGTTGCATTGCATATGATGATTTGATTTGGTACGTAACATTAAGATGCTAAGTTAAAAAAACAAACCGAATTTAACTTAGTGAACAAAACTGAAACAATTTCAAACTTTAGCAATCATTTTGAAAGAAGAAAAAGTTCGATGACTAATGTAACGTAGTTGCAATCGAGTGAAAACCATCTTTTTTTTTTTTTTGAGATTAATGCATTTCCATCAAGAATTCGATGCTCTTTTACATTCTTGTCATTGAAGTCTAGGATGACCCTTTTTAGCCATACAAGAAGATAAAATTTTCATTGCATGTGACGGACCTCTTTTTAGATAAAACTTTACTTGAAATACTTGTAAGATTTTCGTAGTGTGCTCAACATATTTGACTTTAACTTCAAGTTATAATGAAATCTTAATTTTTTTTTCTAGACAAGCTAATTTTGGGAAATGCTATTGAAATGTAGGGTTTGTTTGAGTCCTTTTTTTTTTTTTTAAGAGAAATGAATTTTGTAATATTAATTCTTTTGGAGAATATTAAGAGTGAAAAAAAAAAATTGTTTACGTGTAAAATTATTTTATTGAAAATAAATTTTAAAAAATAGTTTTTTGGTAAAATGGGGCTCAAACAGGGACATAATCTTTTGTCAGTAAAAGGTAATTGTTACCTATAGCAAAGTTTAGTGAGCATCGATTAACTTTGTTCAAATTTAGGTGAATAAAGAGTAAACTTTTAAATTTTAGTGAGCAAACAACAATATATAGCAAAGTTCACTGTGCAAAAATAAATAACTTTTTAAAAATCGATGAGCAAGTAGTAACCATAAGAAAGTTCAAATGTTCTACCCTTACCAACCAAAAGAGATTTTTGTCCTAACTATTCCAACTAGTAGATTATTTGACAAACAATGTATAGGAATTGTTTAAGATTCTCGTCCACACCTAATATATCTTCGATAGGGGTTGTTAAGTCGAGATTGATTAAGAGATATCTCCTACTCAACAAGTCGTCATTTGTTTTCTCTAAATAAATCGAAGAAACTTTAATAAAGAATGATAAAAATAATAATATTTTATTGAACTAGAGGTTGGCTTAGGAATCGAATTCAGTTAAAAAAGAAAAAAAGGTCATATGTACCAAGCGAATTTTACGCCACTGGACCATAAATCTCCATCTTTTGCCGACATGTATGATTGGTTGGCTGTGAAATCTGCCTGAAAATATCTTTCAAAAAATGTAAAAAATATGATAGAAGTTTCCATCATTGTATGAACTTAGGGCATGTTTGATAGTCCTTTATTTTCCATGAAAGTTGGAA